TGTCAGTGGTGGCGGCTGCTGCGGCCGGGGCAGGGGCGGCGGCGGCTGAGAAGGGGCCGCGACGGGCCACGAAGGGGCCACAAGGGGCCGCGAGGGGCCACGAGGGGCCGCGAGGGAGCCGCGACGGGGCGGGGAGGGGCCGTGAGAGGGGCCGCGAGGGGCCGCGAGGGGCCGCGAGGGAGCCGCGACGGGGCCGCGAGGGGCCGTGAGAGGGGCCGCGAGGGGCCGCGAGGGGCCGCGAGGGGGGCCGCGAAGGGCCACGGAGGGGCCGCGAGGGGCCGTGAGAGGGGCCGCGAGGGGCCGTGCGAGGGGCCGCGAGGGTCCGCGAGGGAGCCGCGAAGGGGCCGCGAGGGGCCGTGAGAGGGGTCGCGAGGGAGCGGCTAAGGGGCCGCAAGGGGCCGTAAGAGGACAGGGGCCGCTAAGGGCAGGGGACGCGACGGTAGGGCAGGCACACGGGGCGCGACTCGGGCAGGGGCGAAGCGCGCTCCGAGCAGGAAAACAAATTTCGATTTTCGGTGGGCCCTAGGAAACGTTCCCACTAGGGAACCTGCTCTATACCATGTGAAAGAATGAGGAATGAATGCACTAGGAAACAGGTGGGTACAAGTAGGAAAACCTAAAAGTGTTGTACCCCATATTGTCTACCCCACTACAGCCTATACAGACTATAGCATATAAGTTTGACAAAACAACCTCTGGTTCTGTTTTTCCAACCTAGGAAAACAACAACCAGGTTCAGGTCTTGAAAACAGAACCTGTTTAGTCCTTGTCCAACCAGCCAAATGCTGGTTCTGCTGATTTTCCTTGGCCCGGTAACATGCAGATACAGATATACAAAATCCAACCTCTACCTAAAATTTACCCCTATGGTGCCTACCCTGCTACACTATAGTCAACCAAACAAAACAGTACAATTTTGAGTTGGATAACACTGAATCTACAATTCAAATTAACCGAACTGCAAAGCTTCCATCTTGGGTTCCTTTGAGAGCTCGTCCTTTCTGCTTGCACAGTTCATAGCAAGTACAATGTTGCGTAGAAGCGCACATTGCGTGAGTACATGCGAAAGCTTCAAGCGAGAGATGCGAAAGAAAACAAACACATAAATATTCCATTCGCACTCGCATACTCGTACAAACAGACGGGATGATGTCGTGGAATGTGAATTTGCACCCAGCACTCTCCCCCTCAGCCTGCCTTCTGCATCCACATCATTTCATGCTAGTTCATGCTCATTCCACTCATACATACACAACGTCATGCCTATTGGTGAGGAAGTTTGCTGGCTACTGGTGAGTCATGGTATAGATTGGATTCACCGTCCCCCTCTTCACCTCCTTACGCAGCCTGTGCCACTTGATACGTTGTGCTTGTTCAGCCAATGAAGCACAGCGTTGCTGGCCATCCCAAGAGACCCCTTGCTATCACAAACAGCGGTGTAGCAACCTTTTGCTCCTGACCAATCTCCTCTAACAGCCTCCTCCGCCAAATCACCTCCTTCACCCCGTGAAACATTGCCATGTACTCTACTCCACCAAGGAAAGGGCTGTCTTGATCTGCTTCTTGGACCTCCAACTAATAGATCCTCCCCCAGCTACACAGATGTATCCTCCCAAAGATGAGGTATCCTCCTTCTCAGAAGCCCACGTAGCATCAGTAAAGCAAGTGAGGAACAGCTTGCCTTCTCCAAGCCGCTCCCCCTTCTCTTTCAGCACCTCAACCCCTTTCTGGTTCAGCTGTGCAGATGCGGAGTATTGAACTCCAATGCTTGGGTGAGAGTTCAGGTACTTCACCACATGCTCAGCTGCATCCACCTGCCCGTCAGACGAATTCTACACCACCCTAGCCAGCTGCCCAACCGAGAAAGAGATGTCGGACCTCGTGTGAACTGCTTCGTACAAGAGGCTGCCCACCAAGAACTGAAATTTCAGCTGCTCCTCGGCTTCAACCCCTTCATCCTCTGGAGCCTTCACAGGCTTGAACTCAGCTGGCAGGGAAGTTGCAACCTTGCGCTTATTCTCAATCCCATACTTCTCACCCAGCTCCTTGATGAACTTCTCCTGGTGCAGCTTCAACCAACTGTAATCTGGATCCCTCTACACGTGCATCCCGAGGTAGTACTTTACCTCCCCAAGGTTCTTGCACTTGAAGTTCTTCATCAGCTGCTGCTGCACTTTGTGGATCTCCCTCATGCTGCTGCTGAAGAGAAGAATATCATCCACGTAGACCAGAAACATCACCAGCCTCTCCTCCTTGCCCTTGAGAAAGAGGCTCTCATCACAGCTGCTGGTTCTGAATCCCATCTCTAAATCAGCTGCCAACCTCTTGTACCGTCAGCGTGGCGCTTGCTTCAAGCCGTAGATTGACTTGGTAGTGTAGGGGCAAGAAAACAGTACGCAGGCTTGTCCTCCTCATCCGGGTTATAGCCTTGAGGCAAAATCAGCGACGCCTCTTTGTTTGCCAGCTGCTGCTCTGCTACATCAGCTCCTGCAGTCAGCTTCATCGTGGCCATACGGGTACGTCCTGGCCTAGAGATGGGTGTCTCCTACCCTTTCATAATGACATCATTTGGCTTCCTCCTTTGTGGTAGTGTAGGATCCTTAGCTCTGCCCTGCTGTTGCTCCCCACCCTAAGGTCCAATAGCTCCATTAGTGCTACCGCTAGCCTCTACACCATCTCTTTAGCTAGCAGGTGCCTCTTGTACCTTCTCTCAATCACCACCCTCTGCTGCTTGCCTCCTCTCCCTCCTCCCACACACTAGGAGTCAGGTCCAGGTGCATGGTGATCTGCTCCATCTCCTGTGAGACCTTGACCTCCGGCTGTTTCTTCCAGCCCCCATACATTGGGCCCTCAACAAACTTCACATCCCTGCTATCAATCAACACACCCTTGCGTAGTTCCTACAGCAGCCATCCCTTGCTCTCAACAATGATAGCAACAACATTGGCATCACAGATTACAGCAGAGCTAGTTAGGCTGCTGGTCGAACTCTATCGCAGCACGGTCGACAGCGATCAAGTGCAGTAGAGCTCGCACTGCTCCAGCGCGGCGAAGTACGGCTTGCCAACGTTGCAAGTATGCGATGTGCCAACGCTGCAGCAAGTCGGCTGCACAGCGTTGCACCCGTATGACATTGGTGAACCTGCTTCGCAGGTGCGTGCAGCTGGTTGGTGCTCCACCCCCTGTCATGAGCACAGCGCAGACGCCTGGGAGACTGCACACCAGCAACTGCGCCCACCAGCCTCGTCGACCTCAGGATACCATTTCCGAGGTCGGCCTCGCAGAAACCACCCCGGTGACCTTCGCATACATCGTCCTGGTATCCCGGTCGACCGGGCAACCTTGCCTGGTCGACCTGCTCAATTCGTAGCTGGCCACACATGCCCGGCATCCCCACTCCGGCGTCCAAGCGCCCAGTACGCCGTTCGGACGCCCAGATCGGCGTCCAGGCGCCCAGAAAGCTGTGCAGACGCCCAGGTTGGCGTTCAGGCTCCTAGGACGCCAACCAGACGCCCAGGACGGCATCCAGGCTTCTAGAACGCCAACCAGACGCCCAGGTCGGCGCCCAGCCTCTTAGGACGCCGTCCAAGCGTCCAGAACGTCATCCATGCGTTTAGGACGACGCCTTGATGCCCAGGTCGGCGTCCTCCTGCTCGGCGCCCTCCAGCCAGGCGCCCTCCAGCTCGACGCCCATGCAGTGGCCCCCGTGCCCACTGCTGAAGGTCGGCTGCATTCCCCGCACACCCGACCACAAAGTCGGCTCCGCCCAGGCGAGAACTGTTGGGTGCAAATTCACATTGCACGACATCCTGCCGTCTGTTTGTACGAGTATGCGTGTGCGAATGCATTTGGGTGTGAATGGAATGTTCGTGTGTTTGTTTGCTTTCGCAATTTTTGCTTGAAGCTTTTGCAGGTACTCACGCATTGTGCGCTTCGGCACAACATTGTACGCGCTATGAACAGTACAAGCAGAAAGGACGAGCTCGCAAAGGAACCCAAGATGGAAGCTTTGCGGTTCGGTTGAATTGATTGCGCAGATTCAGTTCTATCCATCTCGAAATTGTACTGTTTGTTTGGTTGACTATAGTGTAGCAGGGCAGGCACTATAGGGGTACAATTTAGGTGAAGGTTGGATGTTGTTTGTCTGTATCTGCATGCTACAGGGCCAGGGGAAACCAGTGGAAGCAGCATTTGGCTGGTTGGGTAAAGACAAATCAGGTTCTGTTTTTTAGGACCTGAACCTGGTTGTTGTTTTCTCAGGTTGGAAAAACACAACCAGAGGTTGTTTACCAACCTACCACCTGCTGTTTTGTCCAGCCAGGTTGGTTCTGTTGCTTGGAATTATTTGGGATCATCCCTGGTTGTTCCCAGGTTTATTCCCAAGGTCCTTGCTAGCTAGAACTATATATTCCTTCTCTGTTTGTACCTGAATATAGTCAATTTGATTCAAGCGAATTCCTCCCTTCCTGGAATTTTGTTTCTACGCGGTGCAATGGCGGAATGCTACCCGAGTCAACGCTAGTACGCTAGCACTCCAACACTAGGCAAACGCTGTCCGAGCCATAACTTCATAATGGCAGAACTTTTCGCGAGGCAACTTGGTTCATTTTAAAGCTCTTGGAGCGAGCTTCGATATAGGAAATGTGAGAATTGAGGAATGATTGCATTGAGCAGCATGAGGAGTACAAGTAGGAAACCCTAAAGTGTTGTACCCCATATGAGATACCCCACTACAGCCTACACAGACTATAGCATATAAGTTTGACACACCCCCATAGGCAAAGTGGGGGAGAACAAGAGGTCACAAGACCAGTCAAGAGAAGCAAGGCAAGCTCAGGGTGGATCACAACGTCACCACACAAACTGAGCACAAGCACAAGGCCACAAGGCCAGTTCACATGCAGAGTTATATATCAAGATGAACAAACAAGGCAGTGATCTCAACCTAGCAAGGGTAAGCAAGCAAGTGCAGGTATATATAGATCACAGTACAAGCAAAGTCAAGAAGTGAGCAAGTGAGGCCAAGTAGGCACAAGACCTAGCAAAGTACAAAAGCACTGATGATCACAAGGCGGAAGTGCCTTGGTAAAGATATCAGCAGTGTTGGCCTCAGAGGCCATGTAAGCAAGGCGCAGCTGACCGCGCTGCTGCAGCTCACGAGCAAGGAAGTAGCGAAGAGCAATGTGCTTCGTTCTGTGCTCCAGTCTGTGCTCCCGACACAAGGCCAGCATGGCCTTGTTGTCTACGTACAGAACTGGAGGAGAACGAGGCGGCTCTCCTAGGTCAGTCAGCAGATAGGTGAGCCAGCGCAGCTCTTGTGCAGCGATGGCCCCCGCGTAGATCTCAGCCTCACAGCTGGAGCCGAGAACGGAAGACGAGCGGGTAGACCGCCACGAAACAGAGCCGGAGCCAAGGCTGAAGGTGTAACCCTGTGACGACCGCTGCGTAGCCTGGTCGTCAGCCCAAGAAGCGTCTGCGTGACCTGTGAGGACCACTGGACGTCGCCCTCCAAGCACTAGCCCCATGCCCGACGTACTGCACAAGTAGCGCAACACCCTCTTCGCTGCAGCCATGTGCTCTGGTCGGTGTCTCCCAGGAGCAACATAGCGTGCCAAGTTGCTAAGAGGGTATGCTAGGTCAGGTCGTGTGCAGGTCATCAGGTACATGAGGCAGCCAACAAGCTCTGGGTACGGGCCACTCGGCTCTACGGACTCATCCGAAGGCAGAGCTGAGAGCGAGTGGCGAGTAGACAGAGGAGTGGCCTGAGGCGAGGAGTACGTGAAGTCGAAGCGCTGAAGGACCTGCTGCACCATGTGTGACTGAGTCAGGGTAATGGTGCGCTGTGCTCTGTTCCGGGTGATCTGCAAGCCAAGGTAGCTGCGCAGTTCACCCAGGTCTGTGCACGTGTGTCTCTTCTGCAGCTCGGACTTCACGTGGGCGAGTCCAGCAGTGTCAGCAGTGGCAAAGACCAATTCGTCGACGTACACGAGGATGTAGAACGGCGGCAAGGAGGTGTCGGTGCGCAGAAACAGCGACGGGTCGGTAGTAGACGGAGCAAACCCAAGAGCCGCAAGTGTAGTCCTCAGTGTGTCGTGCCACTCACGGGGCGCCTGGCGGAGACCGTAGACTGGCCGCCTGAGGCTCCACTGGGTACCAGGAGGAAACGACCCAGTGAAGCCAGGTGGGCGGCGCAGCCAGATCTCCTCGTGCAGGCTGCCCTGCAAGAAAGCTGTGCTGAAGTCAAGAGAGTGAAGCTCGTAGTCGCGCTGAGCGGCTATGTGCAGCAGCACCCGAAGAGTGGTCATCTTCGGGGTGGGAGAGAAGGTCTGAAAGTAGTCAACTCCTTGCCGCTGACTGAAGCCTCGAGCAACGTAACGCGCCTTGAAGACAGGCGGAGAACCCGGCGGCCGCTTCACCCTGAAAATCCACATGCCACTGACGATGTTCGCCCCAGGTGGGGGAACCTCGTCGACGTAGGTGCCTGTGGACTTCCAGGAAGCCATCTCTGCGTCCATGGCTGACTGCCACTGTGAGGAGTAGGGACCCTCGATCGCCTCAGCGTACGATCGAGGAGTCGGGATGTCTGGTGCATCCGGGTCTCCCTCAGGGGCAATCAGCGTGGACACGAGATGAGGCAAAGGAGCAGCAAAACACTGGAACTCCTCCTGCCTGTCCTCAAGGACGTCCGTGCTAAGAGCACACTCACCCCCGACGGACGGAGGACAGACAGACTCAGACTCAGCAACAAGACTAGCAGCGTAGTCTAGACGACAGCGAGCAGCAAAGTCGACAAGCTCAGCAACTAAGGCAGACGCAGCAATGGACTCAAAAGAAGGGTCAGTGACAGCAGTAGCCAGGAGACGCGTGACAGTAGGACTGGCAGCACGAAGAGAGTCAGACTCCGAGTCAGCAAGAGTAGGAAGAGAGGACTCTGGAGGAGACGGCAACGGGACACGCAGAGGAGCAGTGGAAGGACGCAGTGCCATCTGGTGTGTGCCGGGGACCGCAGGAGGACGCGGACGCGGAGCACGACCACTAGTGCGAGCAGCACGAACAGGCAACGCAGGACGAGACGCAGGCTCACGATGCTCAGCAAGACCTCCAGTAGAACCAGTGTAGGGAGAAGGAGCAGGCAGGGGGGAGGCGGGCTGTAACTGTGACCGCGACTGGACAGGCTGTGGACACGCTAAGGGAGGAGTAGGACCAGTAGAGGGCGGGAGACCAAGAACCTGCTCAAGGAGCGGAACGAAGTACGGCCTCGGCCGCGCAGCGCCTCCAGAACCAGCAGGGACAGCACCATTACCCCCAGCGGCAGCACCAGCGCCAGCAGCACCTCCAGCTCCAACAGCGCCAACTCCAGCACCCTCAGAAGCACCAGCGCTAGCAGAACCACCAGCGCCAACACCCCCAGCAGCTCCAGCTCCAGCAGCTCCAGTAGCACCAACTCCAGCAGGACTCCCAGTCCCAGCAGCTCCAGAACCGCCAGGACGAGCACCTCCAGGACCAGCAGCAACAGTAGTACCTCCAGCTCCAGCAGCACGGCTCCAGCGCCGGGCAAACCACTCGCGCAGCTCCTGCGGAGAGAGTAGCTCCCGCCTCGACGAAGCACCGCCAGAGGCCACACGAGTAGACCCAGCACCCCCAGGCTCCGCACCCCCAGGCTCAGCACCCCCTGGCTCAGTACCCCCAGACTCAGCACCCCCAGGCTCAGCACCCCCAGACTCAGCACCCCCAGGCTCAGCACCCCGAGACTCAGCACCCCCAGGCTCAGCACCCCCAGACCCGGCACCAGCAGGCGCAGCGCCCCGAGCAGCACCAGAGTCAACAGCTACCTCGACAGGCTCAACTGCGTCTACCTGGGACACACATGATGGGGCAGGACCCTGAGGGGGGAGGGGGTCTACCGGGGGAGGACCTGGCGCAAGGAAGAGCGGCGGCGGGGGGAGGGGCGCAGTGCGGTAGGGGAAGAGACGGTAGTAAGGCACCGACTCGTCAAAGGTGACGTCCTGGGAGGACAGAACACGGCGCGAGGTGGGGTGGTAAAACTGCCAACCAGGCGCGTCAGGGGGGAAGCCAAGGAAGACGTAGGGAACAGCTTGTCCGCAGACAAACGCCCGAGATCCCCAGACCCGAAACGCAGACGCATCGCCAACCTTCCCCGTCCACCGCAAGGTGGGGGAGGTCTCTGGCAAGGAGACCCGGGGCTGAAGGTTGAGCTGATGCGCCGCGTACTGAACCGCAAACGGCCACAGAAAATGGGGAGCAGCCGCATGGATCATGGACGTACGAGCGATGTCCATGACCATGCCAATGCGGCGATCAGCAATCCCATTTTGCTGTGGAGAGGCCGGAAGCGTGAAGGTCTGGCAGATGCCCTATGCACGACAGAAGGCTCCCAGACGGGCAGAGGAAAACTCCCCGCCTCTGTCAGAGTGCAGACGCAGAACAGGAAAGTCCGAGCCGAAACTCTCTCTGAGCTGGAGACAAGCTGCGCGGATCCAGTCGATCAACACCTCAGTGACGTCACCCTTGCTGCGCAAGGGGAACAACGTGGTGTAACGCGAGTAGTCGTCAACCACCAACAGGAAGTAACGATCGTGACCCTGGCCACGGACGCGGGCGGGGCCCCACACATCCATGTGAAGAGTCTGCAGGGGAGCCTCTGTCGGAGGAAACTCGGAGGAGTGAGGAGCGGCGCGCTGCCGCCCCTCGACGTAGGGGACGCAGGTAGGGGCCGGCCCCGGAGGTAGGGGAGGGAGGGACCGGGGGAGACCAGAGAGAAGGACACGGGAGGCCATGCCTCGGAGACGAGGCAGGGAGGGGTGACCAAGGCGGTGGTGCCAAAGGAGAGTCTGGTGGGACAGGAGACGACACGAGCAGGGAGCAGACTCAGGACCAGACCTGGACGCTGCAGCAAACACCTGACTCGACGCAGCCACCTGACCAGACGAAGCAACAGGAGGAGACTCAGTGGTCAGTGTGTACAGGCTCGACCCCGGCTGACGGGTAAACGTGGCCAAGTGTCGGCCCGTCCGAGCACACGTACAGTGGGTCACCCGCTGACTCGCAGGTGTGAACTGGTCAACCCCCCGATCCTGTAGGTCAGCTCCACTCACCAAGTTCGTAGAGAACGAGGGGAGGTAGAGATCTGACAGGGTGCCAGAGGGGGCTGCCGGACACGGTAAGACAGTGGAGAAGCTAGCAAGGACAGGACCCCCAGAGGGGTCTGCCAGGGAGACCGCAACCGGCCGACTAAGCGGCGTAAGCGTGGTGCGGTCTCGAAAGAAGGAGCGGGAAGCACCCGAGTCAAGGGTGAAGGTGTGCAAGGCCTGAGCCGACGTGGTACCTGAGAGAGCAGACTCACCAGCACCTGGGGCAGCAGACGCACTAGCACCTGGAGTAGCAGCCTCACCAGCACCTAGAGCAGCAGCCTTAATGCCCAGGTCAGGCGGAACACGCAGGTAACAGTCACCCTCATCACTAGTAGACACAGCATACATGGCAGCAAGAATAGCATCATAGTCAAGATCAAAGATAGCTACCCCCGCCCTAGACAGCTCTCCCCAGCGAGGGATCTCAGTGGCGTCAGGGAACTGATGACGCCAAGCGTCCGTCAGGCGGCCGAAGCAGCGCTGGGTGGAGTGCGTGCCCCCGCACTGCTCACCAGCGCGGTCGCCGGTACGGAGGACGTAGGTGCAGGGACCAGTACCCCCACCCCGCTGACGCCCAGCGTACCACTCACGAAGCTGCTGAGGGGACAGGGTCTCACGACCGCGCTGCTGCTGCTGGCGCGGACCACCACCGGAGCCACTCCTCTGCGCAGAGCCGCGACCAGCTACACCGGTGCCTCCACCGCCTCCGCCACCTCCGCCGCCTCCGCCACCTCCGCCGCCTCCGCCACCACCGCCGCCTCCTCCGCCTCCACTGCTGCCACCGACACCTCCACCCCCGCCACCACTCCCACCACCACCCCCACCCCCACCACTGCCTCCACCACCACCTCCACCGCCCCCACTAGCCCCCCCAGCGCCCTTGCCTCCCTTGCCCTTGCCGGTGCGGCGCTTCCCGCTAGGGGCAGACGCAGCGCCGACCGACTCGAAGCCAACGAGGTCGGCCGCAGCAGCAGAAGCAACAGAGGGCAAGAGGGGGGAGGGAGAACACCCCTCAAAGACGGGGGTGCGAGGGTCACCACGAGAGGCTCCTACAGCGACTATGCTCTTCTCTGCTGCTAGGAGGCGCTCCTCGAGGAGGTCGACGGTGAGTGCGGTGGGGCAAACTGAGAGGAAGTGGTCCCTGACTAAGCGAAGGGAGTCAGGGAGCCGGGTGACTATGTAGTAGAGGGTGATGTACATGGGGGGGGGGTTCTTAGTACAGAACTCAGCAGGAAGCGCAGCGCGGTAGCGAGTGTCACTAGTGCGAAGGTGCGTAATGAGGTCAGCGACTGTGGGAAAGGCAGCAAGGTCAGGGAACAGGTACGGTAGCATGAGGCGGCTAAGCGCAGCAGTGGCAGGGGAAGAGTAGCGTGGAACTACAGCGTCGTACAAGGTCTTAGCACTCTTGTACTGGCTAAAGTGCGCACGCTCAGTGGTCGGTAAGTGGCGACGCACAGCAAGACGTGCAGCAGCATCGCGCGTGGCCCACTGTGAGCGAACAGTGCTGTCAGCAGTAGCAGGCGGGGCAGGAGAGACACCAGAGGTGAGATCGAACAGGGAGAGTCCGGTTGCCCTATCGCACTGTAAGAACAGCTAGAGGTCATCGACCCAGACCTCAAAGTCAACAGCACGACCCTCAGTATCAAAGGTAAGGACACTGGGGGTAGCCATGACTGCAGTGGTCTAGCAGGGAGTGAGCTCACCAGTCAAAGGAAGTAGGGCCGGGGCGCGCCGGAAGGAACAGTGGCGGCTCGGCGGCAGGGCGGCTCGGCGGCTCGGCTGCTGGGCGGCTCGGCGGCTCGGCTGCTGGGCGGCACGGCGGCTCGGTTGCAGGGCGGCTCGGCGGCTCGGTTGCTGGGCGGCGCGGCGGCTCGGCGGCTCGGCTGCTGGGCGGCTCGGCGGCTCGGCTACTGGGCGGCTCAGCGGCTCGGCTGTCGGGCGCCTCGGCTGCTGGGCTGCTGGCGGCGTTGAAGGGGCCGGTAGAGGCGGCGACGGGGCCGTGAAAAGCGGCGACGGGGCCGCTAGGGGCGGCGACGGGGCCGTGAAGAGCGGCGACGGGGCCGCTAGGGGCGGCTGCGGGGCCACTAGGGTCGGCGACGGGGCCGTTAGGGCGGCGACTGGGCCGCTAGGGTCGGCGACTGGGCCGTTAAGGCGGCGACGGGGCCGCTAGGGTCGGCGACGGGGCCGTTAGGGCGGCTACGGGGCCGCTAGGGTCGGCGACGGGGCCGGTAGGGCGGCGACGGGGCCGCGAAGGGCGGCGAGGTGGCCGCGAAGGGCGGCGACGGGGCCTCCAGGTGCGGCGACGGGGCCTCTAGGGGCGGCGACCGGGTCGTAGAGGGGCCGTAAGGGGCCTAGAGGAGGCGACGACGGGGCCGCGAAGGGGCCGCGAGGGGCCTGGAGAGGCGGCGACGGGGCTTGGAGAGGCAGCGACGGGGCCGCGAAGGGGCCGCGAGGGGCCTAGAGGGGCGGCGACAGGGCCGCTAGGGGCGGCAACGGGGCCGCAAAGGGGCCGCGACGGGCCTAGAGACGCGACGACGGGGCCGTGAGAGGGGCCGTGAGGGGCCGCGAAAGGGGCCGCTAGGGGCCTGAGGAGGGCGCGACGGGCCGCTAAGGGCTAGGGACGCGACGAGAGGGAGGGCACACGGGGCGCGACTCGGGCAGGAGCGAAGCGCGCTCCGGGCAAGAAAGAAATTTCAGTGGTGGGCCCTTAGGAAGCGTTCCCACTAGGGAACCTGCTCTATACCATGTGAGAATTGAGGAATGATTGCATTGAGCAGCATGAGGAGTACAAGTAGGAAACCCTAAAGTGTTGTACCCCATATGAGCTACCCCACTACAGCCTACACAGACTATAGCACATAAGTTTGACAGGAAATTCTCAGCTTAATCCGATCGACGGTCTGCACGATACTCTGCGCGACGTTCAAGGTACTCTTGTTATTTTGGCTAAGTCATTCTTGACTCCTCTCTCTACAAACTCGGACCCGAGGATAGGGGCTGGTCTTGTACCAGGCACCCAAGGACCCTTGGAGGTGACCCCGAGGAGAGGTTTTAAGTTTGATTAAGCCTTAATAGCTTGAGTTTATTAGGCCCTTACACCAACATCCTCTTCCTCCCCTCTGGCATACATCGCTCCGTCCGGTGCTGGATCTTCCTCCAACCGCTCTAGCTGCACCTGTAGCCTCCTCATTTCTTCCTCGATCTCCCATTCTCAGGCCTTCCCTTGGCCGACCAGCGTAAGTAGCAGTCTTCTTCGTTATGACTCCTCTTTCCGCACACCTTAATAGCTTAAAGTCTTAATAGCTTGAGTTTATTAGGCCCTTACACCAACAAGAACGGGGCCAAACAACACTCCCGTTGACAATCTCAGCTCCAAGGAACTCACCACCCCGATCTGTAATAATCTGTTTCAGCACACACTCTGACTGCTTCTCCACAAACGGTAGTCAATCATCTCTCACTGTAGAGGCAGCGTGGTCGTTCTGCTTCAGCGGATATGCCCATACCAGTCCTCTCCAATCATCCACAATTGTGAGGAAATACCGCTCCCCCTTGTGCCCCTTCACCGGCAGCGGCCCCACCAGGTACATGTGGACCAACTCCAATGGCTTCTTGCTCATACCAGCCACGCTATGGAAGGGGAAACGAGTAAACTTTGAGAGCTAACATATTTCACAATTTGCATCAGGTGGCTGTCCGTTCAGCTTCAGAACCTCAATGGCTCCAACCTTCTTCAACTGCTTCAACAAGATCATTGCTACATGCCCCAAGCGTCGTTGTGCCGTTGCCCAATCCGTCTTTCCAGATCTGGCCAACATTTTCACACCAACCCCTCCAACGGCGTTGCACTCTCCCTGCAGAACCCTCTCTAGTCTGCCCCCCACCGTGCCACGCCAACGCCGGCAGCTGCCACATGGATTTGTACACGTCCTTGCTCTCGTGCAGATCCCAAAGCACGTGATTGCCCAGCTGCCCCTTGTACGTGCGAGCCCCATCAATGCTAGTGCTCACCCAGCCTTTGCAAGCTTACGGAGGGAGATGAGGTTGGCCATGAGATCAGGAACAAGGAGAAGCACCACCGGCTTGCCATCCGCTCCCTTAAACGCAGCTCATCCCACACCAGCCACCTTCAGTGCGTGTCCAGAAGCGGAGCACACCTCGTTGATCAGTGAAGTGCGTACGTCGTCCAGCAGGTCCTTGCGCGGCGTCATCATCCAAGCAGCGCCCTTGTACAACACCCAATAGTTCAGGGGGTGCAGCTCTGCTCAAACCTTGGCAAGGCGTCTCTTTGATCCTCCCTGCTCTCCAATATGGAAGAACTGGCCCGCAGTGCGCTCCTTCTTCTTCTCCGCACCGCTGTTGCTCTTCGGGCTGTTGTGGGACGAATCGGCGACCATGTTCGCGCCGTTTTCTTGGTTCCTCCGCGCGCCGCCATCCTGGTGACGATTCTGGGGGTCCATCCATCGGGTTTCTTATAGCACAAAAACCAGGGGCGCCCCTCCTTCTCACAATACCAGCAAATCCCTTTCATTTTGCCACCAGCACCTGACTTGCCCCCATGTTAAGATTTCGCACCGCGACCCCAACCGGTACCTCCTTGTTTATCGTTGGAGTCGTCCTCCTTCTTTGCACTGCATCTAGTACCACCGAAGCCACGTCCTCTGCCACGTCGGCTCCCTTGTATCCCGTAGCCAGTGCTGCCGTTGTCTCCTCCCCTCAGTTGGCGGCGACGGACGTCCTCCTCTAGAATCTTCGTCCGCACCCACTCGAGCGTCCACAAGCTCTGGTTCTACGGGAGGCTCAATCCGCTCATGAATTGAAGCCACAATTCCAGCAGCAGCGAGAGCATGTTCAAGCACTTGGTTTGCTCCGGATAGGTGATTCCCGTGGTCGCCAACTTCGCATAGAGGTCGCGCATTTTGTCGAGGATTGGTTGCAGCAGCTCTCCCTCGCTCAGGCGCAGCCCGGACAGCTCCCTCTCCAGCATCAATGTTGCAACAACGGAGGTTGGGGCGTGCAGCTCCTTCAGCACGGTCCACACCTCTCGGTCCGCATTCAAGCTCTGGCAGCAGGTGCATGACGTGGTGACGCTGGTTCAGCTCCAAAGTGTGCGACGCGCTGAGGCGCGCTCGTCCCAAACTTCCTCTAGCGCGGGGTCACTCGGTCTAGGCTCCTCCCTAATCATTAGTTTGAGTAATCTTATTTGACGGAAATAAAGTTGCACTTTCCAGGCCCACATAAAGTTGAATTTTCCATGCCCAACCCTCACCATTGAACTTCTCGACGTTGATGTTATTCGGCACCTCCTTGATCAGCGAGCCCTGGTTTTTCGCGCTGCCCTTGGTGTTGGCTACGATCTTGGGCTGAAGATTCACCAGCTATCGGGGAGGTATTGCCCGCCATAGCTACTTATAACAAGGATCACTATATCGCAGCTCACATACCAGCTTGTTGGTGTAACGGCCTAATTAACTCAGGCTATTATGACTCATCAAACTTTAAGCCTCTCCTTGGGGTCACCTCCTGTTGGTGTAAGGGCCTAATAAACTCAAGCTATTATGACTTAATCAAACTTAAAAACTCTCCTCGGGGTCACCTCCAAGGGTCCTTGGGTGCCTGGTACAAGACCAGCCCCTATCCTCGGGTCCGAGTTTGTAGAGAGAGTCAAGAATGACTTAGCCAAAATAACAAGAGTACCTTGAACGTCGCGCAGAGTATCGTGCAGACCGTCGATCGGATTAAGCTGAGAATTTCCTATATCGAAGCTCGCTCCAAGAGCTTTAAAATGAACCAAGTTGCCTCGCAAAAAGTTCTGCCATTACGAAGTTATGGCTCGGACAGCGTTTGCCTAGCGTTGGAGTGCTAGCGTACTAGCGTTGACGTGGGTAGCATTCCGCCGTCGCACCGCATAGAAACGAAATTCCAGTAAGGAAGGAATTCGCTTGAATCAGATTGACTAGATCGAGGTACAAACAGAGAATGAATAAATGGTTCTAGCTAGCAAGGACCTTGGGAATACACCTGGGAACAACCAGGGATGATCCCAAATAATTCCAAGCAACATAACCAACCTGGCTGGACAAAACAGCAGGTGGTAGGTTGGTAAACAACCTCTGGTTCTGTTTTTCCAACCTGGGAAAACAACAACTAGGTTCAAGTCCTAAAAACAAAACCTGTCTTATCTTTGCCCAACCAGCCAAATGCTGGTTCCGCTGGTTTCCCCTGGCCCTGTAGCATGCAGATACAGACAAACAACATCCAACCTTCACCTAAATTGTACCCCTATAGTGCCTGCCTTGCTACACTATAGTCAACCAAACAAAACAGTACAA